TGTAGTGTTCCCATTGAGCCACACCCGGAGCCCAAAGCACAGGCATGAGGAGGAACAGTGTATACAGATCCTTTTCGTTGGGCATCATTTAAGGATATTGCCACAGCATGCATGCATGGGCACGAATTCATTTCAGTCTGCAGCTCCCGTACGGTTTTTCTGATGTCATCACGGATAGTACACGTCACTTGCTTTAAGTGATGCGTGGCCATTGTGTATTGATAATAGTTTATATCATCATTAAATGACTTGTCACGTAAGTAAGACGCTGACATGGCAACGTAATTAATAAAAAAAGAGCAAAAATCCTAGAAATGGTTTCTTCATGAAGAAATCAGGTCTTCTCTTGACCCAATGCACCAAGAAATCATGAAATCGCCATTGGGGAGAAACCACCAGTTTCTAGGGGCTCGTGCCGCACTCCCATTGAAAGAATAAGATAGAGTTGGGAAAGAGAAAGAGAAAATAATTATTACTCATAGAAACTATGGGTTGGAAAGCAGTATTTTTTTTGCGGTATCCTATGTTATAAAAACTACTATTTTTTTTTATTGGGACTGCCCTAACGTATATCATACGTGGTGTCCTCGCGCCCTTTGTGAGTGCAGGCTCAGCACGAAGGGGAAAAAAGTTATTTTAGCCTAAGTGATAATGCCACTGATAGGTGGAAAATGAATGGTTCGTACTTCTTTCTTTTTTTTTCTTCGACGCCTCGCTCGCCCCGTCCCCGTGCCCTCAGCGCATGTTCGCCCAACCGAACATGGCCGCCGCCGGCCGCACTGGTCGCGGTGACCCCAGCCCCGCCTCGCCTCGTGCCGTACGCCCTGACCCCGGCCCCACCCTGCCTCGCGCTCGAGCGCCGAGCTCGCGCCGGCCTCAGGCACGGCCGCACCGCCCTCGCATTGGCCGCGACGGCCTTAGGCCCGGCCGCTCCTACCTCGCACATGGCCGCGGCGAGCCCCTCCCTAGGCCGCGCCTCCCAGGTCCGGCCCCTCCCTCGCTCTGCCGCGTGCTGGAGGAAGAAGGAGATGTTTTTTATTTTAGCCCCTATTTATGTTTCAAAAATTACAAATGAGTCCATCTCAGAGTTGGAGCTCTACCAAATGGTTTGGTGGAAGCTCAGCTCGACCGTAGAGCTGTTCCATGGTGGAGCACTTGCTCTGGAGCGGTGTTTTCAGAGCTGGAGCTCTGCCAAACAGGCTCTTACTCTTTTAATGCCTACATTTTCATGAGATACCCATATGATGTTCGTGTAGTATATAAGTGATGTTCTATGATATGTTTTCGGATATTCACATAGTATAAGTGAGATGGTCTTTGATTATCTTTGAGTATTCACATAATTTGTGAGATGTTATGTGATATATTTTAGACAGTTCAAATAATTCCATGTGATGATTTTTTTATTTTCCTTTATTATATGTTTTTTCTTTTTATTATTTTTGTCTCCTCATATGTCTTGCTGTAATGTTCACGTAGTATACATATGATGTTGTATGATTTATTTTGTGATATTCACGTAGTATACACATGTGATGTTTTATAATGTATTTTAGGATGTTCAAGTACCATTGTTTCACAAATATAAATGGGATATTTTACGATTATCTTTGAGTAGCCATGAGATATTTATGGTATATTTTAAATTATTTAAATAGTATCGTCATGTGATGTTCTTTTTAATTTTCCTTTATTATGTGGGGTTTTTTTCTTTTATCTTATGCTTTGTTCAATCTTTTATTATATTTTTCTATTTATGCTCTTTATTATTTATATATTTATGAACTTTCAAAGTTTTTGTTATTCATTTTTTCTATTTTTACAGATATTATGTTATTGATTTATCTATTTCTATATATTTCATAACTTTCGTTGTTTTTTAACCGATATTATAATACTATACCAATCGCATGAACATATAATTTGTTCTATTAGATCTGGAGTGTTGTTCTTCTGAACCGAGAACATTTTTCTTATGAAGAGGAACATTATTTTTTGAACCTAGAACATACTCTCTGCTCAATAAAAGAAAATGTTCTATCTTCGTGTGATAAGTGTTCGTTAACAAAATTTTATCCAAGTATATCCATGCGGGGTCTTGTTTCAAAGGGTTTATTGTAAAGAAACATGATGGTGTAATCAGAATTTAATTTGGAAGCTTGGTTTAGCAGTTATAGGTTTTTTAATTTTATTAAAACTATGACATCAGTAACATGCAGATTGGTACTATGTCACCAGCAACATGCAGATTGGTACTTTATCCTACGACTCGCTTTGAGGGGTGGTCGAGCGTGGCTGTGTGCCACCCTGGTCGGCGCATATGAGTCCCCCCCCCCTCCCCCCCGTGCAGCCACGAGAGAGTACAAGAGCCCTTCATTTGCCTATTTGATTCTTTGGCTCTCGAGAGGTTTTGTGTAGATGAGACAGCAAAAGTTTATCTATATCTTAGAAATATTTTACAGTGCTTACAAATAATGAGAGTTGTTCATTTGATAAGATCTAATGGTTTAAAATTTAGAGGAACCAATTAGGAGGAACTTAAAATGTAGATCCAATGTAAAAATAGTGTAGATGAGAGAGGCATCCCAACCACGGCGGGGCCACCGCCTCAGTCATCGACGATGACGAGAGTAGAAGAAACAACAGACACCATCCGGGAAAGGAAACATGATGAACGAACGACCGGTGTGGCAGCAGCGCCTTGATCTGGGACACAGAGGGGCCGAGTGGGGGTTGTTCCCCATGCAGACGTGAAGGGCTCCTTGGCAACATTGACGCCATCACCATGGGCAACCACGAGGACAGGGGTTGCAACATCAGTAGACACACCATGGAGGATGGAACATGGCGAACAATGGGTGGGCCCACTAGAGGTAGGTGTGTGAGGAGGTTCCTGCAAAGGTGGACTGCGCGATCAGGGCCGCTGACGACGGCTCCGATAGAGGCAGCAGCAGGGGAAACCCTAGGGTCGTTGCCCCCACGTCGCCCAACACAACCCCATCCCTCCGACCAACAAACTAGCCTCACTAACCCATGAATTGTTAGATCCACGTGAGGAGAAGTCGATCGGATCTGAAGTTTGCTTGGTGGATTGGAGAGGGAAGAGGTTGGATTCGGGTGTTGGCGGATGGGTGTCAAGTTGCCATGGCTGGCTGTTGCCCCGGGACGCCTCTCCTCGTGCGTGGTTTGTGGAGTATGTTTTCTTCTTTTTATATAACTAGCAAATGTGCCCGTACGTTGCAACGGAACCTAATACATATTGGAATTGGACTCCATATCATCGCTAGACGCGAGTTGTTTTAACCAGCGACGGATCCAGGAATAATTTTAGGGGGGCTGAACAACACATGTCTCCGATTGCTGCTCGATCTTAAGTCTCAGCCCCCCTACACTATAGAACTTTGCCTAAAAATTCATGGAGGCTCCACAGGGGTTCCACTGCTGCGGTCTGGGTAGGGGGGGGGGGCCCTCCGCCGCCCCACCGTTGGATCCGCCCATGGTTTTAACTCATATGAGCATGACTCATGAGTCTGGGCCACTTATGAGATACGGAGGGTGTGACCCAATACGTCTTGGAATCAGACTCATATCGATCATTGCTAGATGCGAATTGTTCTAACTCGTATGAGTACGGGTCATATGAGTTTAGGTCACATATGAGACACGGAGGGTATAAGTGTAGTTTGGGAAGTAAAAAAAGTGAAACCGAAGAAACTCTCCTCTGTCTGGTAGTTAGAGGGAGGTGGATAAAAAAATAGGATAAAATTTTGGCTCTTTAATTTTATGTTATTAGGTACGTCTCAAAGTCGAACTCCATACCATGGCCTACACGTGCTGCTAGAAAGGTGATCTCATATTAAATTTGGATCAGATCGTGCTAGTTTTGGATTGCAAATGTGATGTTGTGTTAGATTTAAAAAATGGTATCTTGTTGAATTGCAAATGTGATCACGTAGAAAACTCATCAGTGGAAAAAAAAAAATCAGAAAACAAAAATCAAATCAAAAATCATGAAAACTGTGCTATTGGAAAAATAATCCAAAAATAAAACAGAATTGGAAACCACCGTGGAGTCACGGAAAACAGTTTCATTATTGGAAAAAATGGAGAGAAAAAAGAATCAAAAACCACCGTGAATTAGTGGGCTGCAGGAGGAAAACTATTCAGAAACCGAAAACTAATCAAAAACAGAAAACTAATTGGAAACTACTGCATCCGACTTCCATCTTCCATCCACACAAATAGTTAGGAAGAGGTGAAAAAAATAGAGAGAAATTTTGCCTCTTTAATATTTAATATTAGGTATAGATATAGAAATGCAAGTGCCAACGAAAGGAGAAAAAGGGAAAGGGGAAGAGGAGGAAGGGCAGGGAGGCTAGCTAATTTGTTAGATTTAGATGTTTGAATTTGATATTTTTGCCACTAGACATATCACTACTGCTCCCTCAGTCCCAAATTATAAGTTATTCTAACTTTTTTGAAGAGTCAAAGTATTTCAAGTTTGACCAAATTTATATAATAAAATAATAATATTTATGATACCAAATAAGCTTAATTAGATTATTCATTAATTATATTTTTATAGTATACCTATTTAATGTCATAAATCTTTATAATTCTTTATTAATTCATGAACGTGTTGGTATGTGAAGTGGACATGTTAGATATGTTTTTTTCTCGATTACGTAAAAGGTTTGCGCGTTTTTATATTAAGGTAGAGAAATTGTTCGATACAACACGCATTAACGACGCCCTAGGGGGTCAATAAAGTTTTACATTGACGCTCAGATCTTCCTAGTGTACTGTTAGATATGTTGGTAAGTGACTAAGTGATCTGAGCATGCATGTATGTCATGGTGGTCGTATATACTTTCATGAATTAATATATGCATGTTGTGGCATATTACGAATTATGTAGGTCAAAATTTTGGCATACTTGCTATCAAAAATTTGCCAAATTTTATTAAGTTCCGGTCAGATTTAAAATGCATGTAACTGGGTTAAATTCTGTTGCCAAAACTGTCAAGGGAAAATCGCAAAGAACTAGAAAAGTTAGAATAAATCTACATGAACAAAGTAGCAATTAATTTCATACACGAATCGACACCGGTGACGCGAGAGTCGTGCCTGCCATCCCAAATCTCAGAGCCGTGGCGCGTGACGCGCTCCCACGCGAACAAAGCACGTGTCACCAGAGCCAACCAGCTAAAACTGAACTGAACAAACTAGCATGCATGCCTAGCCCTTGTTTAGTTCTAAAAACTTTTTCCAAAAAGTGCTACAGTAATCATCATATCGAATCTTGCGATATGTGCATAAAGCATTAAATGTAGACGGAAAAAAAACTAATTGTACAGTTTAGTTGGGAATCGCGAGACGAACGTTCTGAGCCTAATTAGTCCATGATTGAATACTAATTGCCAAATAAAAGCGAAAGTGCTACAGTAGTTAATTTATCAAATTTCACCCAACTAAATACAGCCGTGGCGCGTGACGCGCTCCCACACGAACAAAGCACGTGTCAGCAGAGCCAACCAGCTAAAACTGAACTGAACAAACTAGCATGCATGCCTAGAGTTTATTCATCACAAAGACCCGTTCGATTAGAGGAATTTGGAGGAATCTCAAGGAATATGAAGGAATTTGTGAGAGAAAAATATTATTTCGGATTAAAAAAAAAGCAAATCAAGCCGGGTTTAAGGGCATGCGAACGTGGCCAAAATACAAACTGCCGGCAGTACGTAGTTGAGCTCAGCACGCCGCCTCCGACGTCGTAGAGCACCTCGATGGTCTGCTGCTGCACGTTGCCGATGATCCCAGGAGCGCCGTCGCCGCCGTTGGGCGCGAAGGCGAGGCAGTCGTCGAGCAGGATCCCCGAGGGGTCCAGCTCCACGGCGGCGTTCCGGTCGAACACCAGCGCGACCCTCGGCACCCTGACGACGAGGACGCCGGCGAAGTCGTAGCAGGTGTCCAGGCTCCCTTTCGGGGACGCCAGCCGATACGCGCCCATCCTGCTCCGGAACACGGCGCGCAGCGCCTGGTACGCCGTCGGCGGCAGGTGGGTGATGGCCGTGCGGGAGTCCATCACGGAGCCGGCGGCGAAGACCGTCGCGGGCACGTTGAGCCGCTGCCCCTCGACGGTGATGCCGCGGAGGAGGACGCGGTACAACGTGGGCGACTGGCTGAACCTGAGCATCGGCGTCGCCACGAACGTCCTCGTCCTGGAAGACGGCGGCATTCCGAGGATGAAGAACCCGGCGTCGGCGGGACGCAGTACGAGAAGGCGATGCCGTGGGTGGCCGCCGTCTGGGACACCAGCGACTCCGGGCCGCCGCCGAGCGACGTGGTCCCGGATGAGCTTTTGCTGCCCTGGCTCAGGCCCTGCTCGGCCTGGCTGCAGCCGAACTGGAAGCTGCGGACGGCGGTGACGCGGTACTGGCACTGTCCGTTGATGCAGCCGTTGCCGTAGGGGCCGAGACGCGCGCACGCCGGCGAGCCGCACGGGAAGGCGGCGTAGGTGGGCGACCAGGTTGGGTCGAAGAATCTGATGCCGCCCGTCAGCGGCGGGTGGCATTGCACCCACGGCACGTCGCTGGCGGTGTCCACCATCATCGTCTGCATCGTCCCCGGCATGCTCCGCCTCCTCCTGCCGCCGCCGCCGGTGGCCATCGGATGAATCCTAGACTGCAGGAAAAGGGAGATGGATCGATCGATCGCTTACTTAATTAGACAGAAAAGAAAACTGAATAATCTTGGTGACAAAGGAAAAATAGTTTCGTTCGTAGTACCGTGGAAATGCTATTCGCTGAGCCGACGTTGACGTCGACTACGGGCCCGTGTTCCATAGCGGTTGTGGTGCTTTTCGCCGGGCGCTTCTTGACCTTCTCATCGTCGGCGGCATTGTCATCATCGTCACCAGCAGACAGCACCGTCATCTGGATGTTTTGGACCCGGAGGTCGTCCTGCCGTAGCAGCTCGCCCAAAGACGGCGGCTTCTGCTTGCGGCGGTGCGACGATGACGACGGCGGCGAGCAGGGGGCCATGAGAGAGAGACTAAGCCGTAGCCACGTGGCGTTCTGGTCACCATTTGGTACGGTGGAGACACTGCAACAACCCAACATCATTCAGTAGTATCGCTTCAGATCAATTCTTTTAAGCTATTTGTGCGTGTTTTCGGATCATACGAACCCGTGTGTCCGGAACAAGCAGCTTTCGGCTTCAGCGAGCGGATCGCCACACACGTGTATTCGTGTTGTTCCGTACTTCCGTGTCTGCTGCTGCACGGGGAGGGACACTAGTAGGAGAGAAGCTGAGGCTGAGCACAAGTAAGAGAAGCAAGACGACAGCATCCGCCATGGCTAAGCTTTTACGGGCACAGGGAGTACTATTAATGGTGAGTATAGTCTACTAATTTGAGCACACATGCATGTTTCTGAATTTTATGTGAATTTTGGGATTTATTTTTTTCCCTAGCACTACTGGAAAACCGAGATTTGCCTAGTGTTTAATGGTTTGCCTAGTGCCAATCGTCGGACACTAGGCACTCGTTAGACCCCGGAGCACTCGGCAAAATAAAGGCACTAGGCAAAATAACGATTTGCCGAGTGTCGACACTAGGCAAAGAAATCCACTCGGTAAATGACCATTTTGCCTAGTGTCAATATTAGGCATACCATCACACTCGGCAAAGGCTGCCGGAGGGCAACCGCCGTTACCATTTTGCCGAGTGTCTTCCGTTAACACTCAGCAAAATTAGAACTTTGCCTAGTGTCTCCGGACGACACTAGACAAACTGGCCAGTTTGCCTAGTGTCTTACAGAGACACTAGGCAAAATATTTTTTCTTTTTTTTGATTTTAGCTTCCAATTTTTTTCTGTAGCTTTCCTACTGTACCTTGACCAACATGTTGAAAGTTGGCACAATTTAAGAAATTTTGCTATATTTCTTTAGTTTATTTAATTTCTTTGAATTTTTTCGACAAATGCAAATTTGAACTGCAAGTGTGACGAATAATGGCAATTCATGAATGCAAAAATGATATTCATGTTAGTAAGTGTTAGTTGAGGCCGTATCCAGAAACAGACCAAAAATTTCACACATCTTCACGTCGAGACATGACCACGAACTTGCGAGCAAATAGTTTTTAAATTCTATTAAATGAAAACGGAGTCTGAAATTCATGAAACTTGTCGACAAGTCAAGATATCGCATGCGGGTGCCATGATAAAAATTTAAAAAGATTTCGAGCACATCGTCACGTATGATGCTTAGAAACCCTAACATCTCCACATGATCATACGTGACGATGTGCTCGAAATCTTTTTAAATTTTTATCATGGCACCCGCATGCGATATCTTGACTTGTCGACAAGTTTCATGAATTTCAGACTCCGTTTTCATTTAATAGAATTTAAAAACTATTTGCTCGCAAGTTCGTGGTCATGTCTCGACGTGAAGATGTGTGAAATTTTTTATCAGTTTCTGGATACGGCCTCAAATAACACTTACTAACATGAATATCATTTTTGCATTCATGAATTGCCATTATTCGTCACACTTGCAGTTCAAATTTGCATTTGTCGAAAAAATTCAAAGAAATTAAATAAACTAAAGAAATATAGCAAAATTTCATAAAATTGTGCCAACTTTCAACATGTAGTCTCATTTTATGTAGGGAGGCTCGATAAAAAGTTTGAAGACCAAAATTGAAAAAAAAATAAATAAGTTTGCCTAGTGTGCCAGCTAGACACTAGGCAAACTGGCCTCTTTGTCTAGTGTCTCATGGAAGACACTAGGCAAACTTATTTTTTATAGTGTTTGCCTAGTGTTGGGTTATCGACACTCGGCAAAGTTAATTTTCAGTTTATATTGTTTGAGTGTTTTTTTATTTTAAAAAAAATTCATAGTTCAAAAACATTCATATTTGCCCAGTGTCAGATCTAGGACATTAGGCAAATCAGTAGAAGACCGGTACTACTTGACCTGATCGGTACTACCGGTAGAAGATCGGTACTACCGCTAGGCCAAAAACCAGCACAACTGTGAAGACCTGTAGTACCGATGAACTTCCGGTACTACCGTTCAGGCTGGTACTACCGGTAGAGTACCGGTACTACCGGTAAGCCAAAAACTGGCTCAGTTGTGAAGACCTGTAGCACCGATGTCAGGCCGGTACTACCGGTCAGGCCGGTACTACCGGTCAGGCCGGTACTACCGGTAGACGACCGGTACTACCGGTAGGTCAGTTTTGAGCAAAAACACTGGGTACGAACTACCGGATGTCAGCCGGTACTACCGGTCAAACAACGGTAGTACCGCTAGGTCATTTTTCCAATGTTTTGTGAAGACCGGAAGTACCGGTACTTACAACCGGTACTATCGGAGACACTTCAAAGAAACCCAGCAGTGAGGTGTGCCAGGTATTTACACTATTTTTATAAATAAATTTTGCAGTTGAATTTTTTTTTGCCTAGTGTTAGATCCTGGACACTAGGCAAAGTAGGATATTCAACACTTAACTTATCCTTTCACCCGAACCCGAACCCCAGCCCAGGCGCCAGAGCTCTTTCAATGAAAAAATTTCGCCGCCACACCCGGAAGCCGCCCGCCGCCCGCTGCCGTTAAGCGCCGCCTACCCGGCGGTGGGCGCCCATCCTCCCTCCATCCGGCCGCCGCCCGCCCTCCATTCTTTCCGCCATGGCTGAGGCCTCGCCAACCGATCCGCCAGGCACATTGCCATGCGGCCGTCAGCGCCCTAGCCCGGCCTGCTTTCGGGAAGGCTTTGGCCAGGCTGCCCGGCCCGCCCCCTGCGTAGGGCCCTCAAGCCGTCCGGGGCCCACAGCAGCGGGGTCTGGCGACAAGGTGCTACGGCCCCAGCCCGCCCTCACACTCACCAAGAAAACACGGCGGCCGGGCGGCCCCTGGCCGGCCCCCAGCGCCGTCCCCTAGCTGGTCCTGTGCCGCCCCGTGGCTGGCCCTAGGGAGAAGGTGAGCAGCAGTAGAGAGGGAGGAGGAGGAACAGAGAGAGAGGAGGAAGGTGGAGAGAAGAGGAAGCCCCATCGATCTGCTCTCGTCCGCCGCGGTGCCACGCTTGACATTCCGTCCACCGATGTCTTGCTCGGTGCCCTCTTATAAGCCCGGTATGCTTTGTTCCGTGTGTGCCTCCTACCGGCTCAGCAGCCCGTCCGACACACATGCCGTCTCTTTGATCGACGACTAGCACGCATACGAGGTTCGTCACCACTTTTGTATTCGATACATGGTGTGTCACAGTAGTGGTACAAATATGCATAGGATGGATAAATGATGATGTTGGCGGTGATTGTGTTAGTACTAGTTGTTGTTGTGTTAGTAGATGTAATTGCTTCCCTTGATATATATGTGTTTAGCGGCCATCGTGTCGTTGGTTCATTGCAGGTTTTGAGAATCTCACCGTACAGGGGAGGTGCTGCCGAAATTTTTAGACGTCTTAATTCGTTTTGTTTTTATTTGTAGGAAAAAGAAGGTGAGAAAGGAGCAGAGGCGACCCCGATCATCTTCCTCACCGGTGTCGGTCTGCCTGCACCGCGTCACCTCGCCACTGCACCGACCCTCCACGGCCCCGCTAGCCTGACTCCACCGCCACCTTAGGTATAACCCCTCTTTCAGTATCATGGTTGTAGGTGGCGAAGCCCAGTTAGGCGTCTCCCGTTCGAAATACATACGGTTGGAGGTATGTAAATCTTTGCACATCGATAACCGTATGTGTTTCGAATTGTCCAAGTTTTTTTGGACAGCCCGCGGCTGCGTAGATGGATTAGTTTTCATGGTCTGCTCCTATCCAAGATAGAGTTTCGGTATCACCTCCCTGTTGTTCTCCGGATACACTCTCCTTGTCAGGACATGTATTTAGAGAACAACGGATAGGTGCTGCCGAAATTCATTCTTAGATAGGAGTAGATCATGAAAACTAATCTCATCTACGCATCCGCGGGTGGGATTAGGACCTATCCTCACCTATTAGATGGTAGGAACACCGTGTAGATGCAATTGATGCTTATATTACTCGCTGATACATATGTTAGAGGATGGATGACCGTGAGTGGATGTACACGGGCCACAGAAGCAAGGTTGATTTCACCAAAGAATGGATGTGCAAAACGGATGAGTTCTTGGAGTCAGCTTTTGGCGAGGCTGGTGGCAGACCTATTAAAGCTTTGTGTCCCTACAGCAAATGTGCAAACAGAAAAAGGCAAAACAAGGTGAATGTGGGTAAACATCTAGTGAATAATGGGTTCACACCGAACTATACCCGGTGGGTCCACCATGGTGAAGGCCATCATATGAGAGAGGAGGTAGTGAGACCACGTCTGGAGGGTTTCGATGCTGATGCCGGGGTAGCGGACATGTTAGATGACTTTAACAAAGCACAGTATGTTGAAGGACATAGGTTGGAGGAGATGGATGCAACAACAAAGGCATTCTACGACATGATGGAGTCAGCACAGAAACCCCTGCACGATAGGACAACGGTTTCTCAACTAGATGCCATTGGACGTGTAATGGGGTTCAAGTCCCAGTTTAGCCTGGGTCAAGAAGCCTACGATGGTATGTTGGCCCTCATTAGCAGCCTGCTTCCTGAGGGCCACATTCTACCAAAGAGCATGTACGAGTCTCAAAAAGTGCTTCGTGCACTTAAAATGCCGTATGACCAGATAGATGCTTGTCCGAAGGGGTGTGTCCTATTTAGGAAAGATCACAAGGATGCAAAATACTGTCCAAAGTGTGAATCCTCCAGGTACCTTGAGGTTGACTCTGGTGATGGCCAGAAGAGGCAGCTTTCTATCCCGTTGAAAGTCGTTCGGTACCTTCCGTTCTTACCGAGGATGCAACGTCTATATATGACCGAGGAATCCGCGAAACAGATGAGATGGCACAAAGAGGGCAAACGATACAATCCAGACAAGATGGTACATCCCTCCGATGGTAAAGCATGGACCCACTTTGATTGCATTCATAATGACAAAGTCAAGAGGCTCGTAATATGCGTGTTATTGGCAACAGCAGATGGGTTCAATCCTTATGGTCGATGTCCGCTCCATTACACTTGTTGGCCCATCTTCGTTATCCCCTCAATCTCCCCGGCGTCCTCCTTCAACGACGAATATCTTTTTGTCATTGATAATTCCTGGACATCCGGGGAATAACATGGGTGTACATGGAGCCTCTTATTAATGAATTGATCCTTGCTTGGGAGGACGGGGTATGGACATACGATCGGGGCTACAAAGAGAAACTTCAAAATGCGTGTTTGGTACCAAATACTCCATGCATGACTTCTTGGCATATGGGATATTCAATAGCGTGCGCG